GCACCGGAGGATAGGAAGGTGCTGATATGAATAGGGATTTGCACTCCACAGTGTATAGTGAGAAGAGAGAGTGATCCATCACAGTCAGGCTCTTTTCTGTGTGTCTATGGGGAGATGAAGAGGCTGAAAACAGAAGCTCTAGTCTCTCTCTCTCTCTCTCTCTCTCTCTCTCTCTCTCTCTCGCTCTCTGTCTCTCTCTCTCTCTCTCTCTCTCTCTCTCTCTCTCTCTCTCTCTCTCTCTCTCTCTCTCTCTCTCTCTCTCTCTCTCTCTCTCTCTCTCTCTCTCTGAACACCCAGGGCACTGAGTGCACCACATTCACTATACATGCCTGTTAATCCAATTGACCATTAATTACTGGGGCTACGTTTGCCATACCAAAAAGCATTGATCCTCTACAACAGAATTTAGGCATTTAACACTGTAGCTTCAATTAATTTTAATCATTAGGTTTCATTTTTTGTTTAATGCATATAAACCATACCTAGACTATTTTTACTGTCATTTTTAGCACTACATGCGATATCGGGACCATGTCGTTCCAAACCCATAAAACCTTTGTTCATCTTCGGAACACAAATTAAGATATTTTTATGAAATCCGAGAGCTTTCTCACCCTCCATAAACAGCAATGTTACTGAAATGTTCGCATGCAGGCCCAGAAAAGTATATCGTTAAAATAGTCCATGTGACATCAGTGGTTCAACCATAATATTATGTAGCTATGAGAATACTTTTTGTGCGCAAAGAAAACAAAAATTAGAAAAAAAAAGGTTTGGAACGACATGAGAGTGAGTACTTGATGACAGAATTTTTTGGGTGAACTACCCCTTTAATATTGGAAATATATACTGTTCAGAAGTTTGGTCGGTAAGATATTGTAATATTTTTGAATGAAGCCTCTTATGCTGCATTGATAAAAAAAATACAGAAGAGTAATATTGTGAAATATTATTATAATTTATAACAATGGTTTTCTATTTTAATATATTTGAATTTTAATGTATTCCTTTGATTGTAAAGTTGAATTTTCAGCAGTCATTACTCCAGTCTTCAGTGTCACTTGATCTTTCAGAAATCATACTGATTTCCTACTCAAGAAACTTGTCTTATAATCAATGTTGAAAACAGTTGTGCTGACTTGTTACTGACCCCAAACTTATGGTAGCGTTTCATATTAGTTTTCAATGTCCTAATAAACTCCTATCCCTATTCAAAAGGCAAATCAGTCAAACAAACTTGAAGCTTTTACTCACCCACAGACTAGTGTAAGTATTTAGAAGATTCCTTTTCTGATGGTAATTCACATGCAAGTTGTACCCAGAAATTGTATATTGAATAGTATATTGAATAGTTTTACGATTTATTATGAATCTTGTGAAATCATGTACGACTGTAATGGAAATGCAATGCCTAATTCAGCTCTGCTGTGAACCTCTTTAGTCAGTCTTGAAGAGTTTGAAGCAAATCTAGGCTGTGAGGAAGCTAAACATAGGTGCCCCATCAGACCGCTGTGCTTTCATGATATCACTCACATTCTGAGAGAAACCCCTCAGCAGTGAAGAAGGAAAGGGCCTTAAGCAAGAGAGAGAGGCCAGAAGAGCTTGAAGAAGTCCTGAAGTGTGCAGTTGTCATCCTTGTTAGCAAATATTTAGTGTATTTCTTTTTTAAAAAGAAAAGGAAAAATGTGATGTAGAGGTCTAGACTGTTTGCAAATTAATTGTGGAATGGAATGAAGAGAGGCATGTAAAATATGCTTTCCTTTCCGTTTTTTTTTGTCCATTCTTTTTTTCTTTTGCAAGCCATATTATTTCAGCTGACTAAAAACATGTATGGCATATACAAAAACAAACAAATGATAAACAGGAAAAGGGGTTAGAGTAGTGCAGTCTATCCCAGCACAAACCCCTGTTCCTGGACACACAAAGACCTCGGGCTCAACGGTGTTTGTAGTGCAGTTGTAATGCGAAAGCGAAATGCATCCAGACAGCGAAGATGGGGGGAGGGGAGTAGGCTACTGCAAGCGCCTTAACCTAAACCCCACATATTCACCCCCTCAATGCCCCCTCGATTTATATGAGACGAAACAAACACAAAACCAGCTGAACCCGCTCTCCAGACACTAATAAATGAATAGACTAAATGCTGTTGAACACAGTATATATGACTGCTCCTTGGTAGAAAACAATTCTTGTATTTAACGGCGGTGGGAAGTAATCTCATTCACAACAAACAAGCAACCAGACAAGAAACACATTAATTGCCTGGGCAACATAATGAGATTTACAGAGGAAGAAAAAACAGCATAGCCAAAACAGTCAAATTACACCAGCAACAGTCTTTGTTAACCAAATCCAACATTCACAGATTCCTCCATAACACAATAAGGGAAAATGCTTACTGTTTTATAGCAAAGTATTTAGAATAATAGCACTGAGAAGAGGGAAAACATGAAAGTGTGCTCAGACAGGTGTATATGGCTCCTTTTCCTGCTCCCGGTGACCCCCTGATGTCTTTTTGGTGGGATGGGAGGGGAGCTTTATGTCCCTGATCTGGAGCAGATGGGGCTCCGTCTCTTGCCCACTGACATCTCTGCAGCTAGTCATTGGAACAGATGGGTACTGAGGGATCCTGGGATACTGCTAATCTGCTCCACCACAGCATTTAGAGATGGTGCATCCCCCTCAGTGTACACACTTACATCGACAAATCAGCTTGAGTTTGAATGGAGATGAATCACTAAAGTAACTATGATTTAGGCTGGTATTAATCCAAGGGTGTAATGCAACCTTTTTTTTTTTTTTGAGGAGGCACCAGATGCAATCCTAGCTCACTCCTTTGCAAGATAAGACAAGATAAATACTTTTGTAAATAATGTAGTTACTCATGCAATATAGTAATGCAATACACACAAATAATACATATGTTATAAAACATGACTAGATATTGCATATATGTATAACATATATAGCATGAGTATTTTCTTTCTTTTAAATGCCTGCAGAACTACAAATATTCCACTCACTGTGCAATGTAGGAATAGCTTAAGATAAATGCATATGTGAAATTCAAAGGGTGACATGTTTTTGCTTTATTAATGTCGAGATTAGTGATTATTAGACATCACACTATAAGTAAATCATTTCTTCCTCCATCAAATATTTAAAACCAATTCCTACAAAGTTCCACATCGGGACAACTCAGTCTAAACCAAAAGGTATTGACAAATGCCAGTAATAAGGGCAACCTCTTCTGACCTCTTCTTAAAGCACTAATAAATGTAATGCAATAGAACCTGGAATTCTGTCACATGCACTTCAACCGACAAACAACAGAGAACAGGACAGGAATTCCATTGTTATTCATCACTTATCTCTTGACTTCATGATTGTTAGCCTGTTTTTATATTACTATAATATATCATCACAAATAAAACGGCGTTTATTCACCAGACACGAAGCAAATATCAATGTAACGTAACGTTAATGTTTACTATCACGCGGGTGCACAAAAACGAAAGGGCTGGATACAACTTAAAGCTGTATGTGCGTTAGAGAAACTTACCTAATTAATTCTTATGGAAAATGAACATATTTCATATTTTACTCGTTCTGCAACTTGCCACTTTCCGATTCTCAATGTGTATGTGACAGGGTCTGTCAGTTCTCCATAGGCCACAACGGGGAAATTATTCGATGCCTTCTTATAGGCATTTTTAAAACGGTAATGCAACCGAAACATATTTACTTCACCACGTTTCATCTGAAACTTTCAATTATTATTTTACGTTATACGTTGTTTAGCGTGGCATACAGCGCGCTCGTGTAGTCACATGACAGCTCATCCCGACAGATTTTATATATGGCCAAGGCTTTATCTAGGTGTCCTGCAAAGAAGTCAACGGAGTCTGTAACGTTACACTCTCAAAGCATTGCATCCGAAATAATGCTGCACTAACACTGACCATCAGAGGCTGAATGCTGAGACACACATATTGCATATTTGCAGAATGAACATCCGAACACAACGCTTCTAATTTATTTAGTTACATATGTATATATTTCACACCCACACAAAGACAAACTGGGTTAAACAGTCAGTCGTTTGGGACAGAATTCATTGAAATACAAAATGCACGGTCAATACGGTCCTATTTCGAGACTCGATTTGCACCCACGCTCTAAATCATGCGGACTACAGCACATTTTCGAAAACGAGCGAAAATAATGTTTATAATTACTTACGCTTTCAGCGGATTCTGAATGACAGTCGCCATTTTGCCACACTGTAACCCAATATTCCAAATCTCTTGAGTTCTTTGGGAACCTTGTGAAAGAAAAGCAGCCAATACGGACCTCAGAGTCCGGCAGTCTGGCCAATACAATACTAGGAATCAGAATCTGGGCGTGGCTTCCGAGAGCTGTCAAAATTCTAAAAATTATTTCAACATCTTTACTTAGAGTAGACTACTTGTTTGGAAGTTGAAGAGCTAAAGTAACGCTATTTATGCAGACTGCATATGATGTTTTACATTCAGCAACAGAATAAGAGCCGCCTGTAGCCTTTAGAAAAATAACATCTGTCAGTTTTAACTAGATTTTTATTTTAATTATATTATTGCAGTTTGCTACATAATTACTACACAATTTGTGCTTGGTAATTTCTGTAGGACCTATTTTAAATATAAAAATGTAATTTAATTCATTAACACTATTATATATGATAATATAAGTAAACATGTAAATAAACAGTGTACATGTTTGTGCCTATATTGTTTTATCTGTTTTTCTTTTAAATATAAATACATACAACGATCATAATTAAAACACAGTTACATCGTGCTAATTATAACTATTTCTATTTTTATGAATTCCTTAGCTTCGTGTATGTTTCTGTATGTCAACGAGACAGCCCCTAACGTGATTGACAGCTGATTATCCAGTCACATTTTTCAATATCGCAAAGTCTCAGGGTTCCACCAATGAACAGTAAGGAGGCGGGAATTCCCGGTGTCATGAGGAAATCATATTTCCAAACAGGAAGAAGTCAGCACGAGTGCATTTTTATCAGGTAAGTTTATTATGACTCTTCTTTTTGCATAAAGTTTACAAGTTATTTCAGCGAACAATCAGTATATGAACGCGAGTTCTCTTCTGCAAGAGTAACTGTTAACCGTTAACATAAACGAACGACCCACGTGCGTGTTCATAACAGTAGTCTTAGCATGTTAACCCCTTGTTCAGCTCCATAACAAATCAGAGTTTTGCATCACTGCTCAGTTTCTAAATAATGCTCCAAAAAGTTTAGGTTTTCCTTCATATGTGCTAAACCCAAAAATGAATACACAATTTTCCCTATTTATTTATATATAAAGCATTAACTGATTTGAGATATAAGTTACTGGCATGACTCCTGAGAAGTAGAAATGAAGCGGGGGAACTGGCGATCGAGTGGCAGGGACCGTCACCGACACCAAAATCAGTCACAGTGGCGGAGCAGACACCGTTCAGCCCAAGATGAGCAGGAATATAGGTAACTAACACGGACAGACTCTATCGTTTTTCACCTAGACACACCTGTAAATTAAAATGATGTAATTTGCTCGCCCTCATGTTGTTGCAAACCTGTTTAAATTCTTCTGTGGAACACAAAAGTTGATGTCAAGCAGAACGAATGCCTCAGTAATATTCACTTTCATTGTATGGACAAAAGATGCAGTCAAAGTGAATGCTGTCATTCTGCATAACATCTGCTTTTATGTTCCACAAAAGAAAGTCATACAGGTTTGAAACAACATGAGGGTGAGTCATTTTTTTAGTGAACAATCTCTTCAATGTGTATGTTGCATTCCAAATCAGCACATGTGTTCATACTAAATTATTGAGACCTAGAGTCAGTGATTTTGGCAGTTCAGTTCCTTTCGGGATTATTTTCAGTTAGGCTTGTATTTAACTTTATATTAGCCATTAACATTATTAATTGTCCTAGTTCTGACAGTGCAGCAGGTGATGCAAGTTCATCCTCAGCATCCTCATCTGCACCAGGTGAACTTTTAGTTACATTATCTCCCTTTACGTCTTTTTGTCCTGTCAGTTCAAAACGATTCACTTAACCATTAACCATTATTCTTTATAGAGTTGCCAGGTTTCTACTTTGACCCAGAGAAAAACCGTTACTTTCGTTTGTTGCCTGGGCACAACAACTGTAACCCTCTGACAAAAGAAGGGCTTCAGAAAAAGGAAGAGGAGAAAAAGAGATCAGCGCTTCTGGCGGAGGATGATGGTCCTAGGAAGGTGACTTGTGAAATTACTGAATATGTCCTCTAGCTATATGTAAATGTAGTTTATATGGACATTTCTCACTGCTTGTATCACATTTTTTGCACTGAATTCTGACTGTAAAGTTATTTGAGAGAAATCTATGGAGGTTTTACGGACAAGCATATCTGCAGTAGCTGGATGGGTTTTGTCAGTAATAAATTATTGTATTGAGAGGTGCAGGTGATTCACTTTCTCCTTGTTTCTCCCTAATATGTTCAGAAAGCTCCCAGGACTGGGCTGAATTCTGCATTGCTGTTACAGAAGAGACGTCTGGGTCTGCTGCCCCCAAGCTCCTATTCTAGGTATGACATAAAATATCTTATGGATGCAGCTTTTTTTCAGAAAGTACTTGACCAGGAAAAAAATTGGATCCCAAAATGAATTCGATTCCAAGGTTGTTCTCATTTTGCAGGTTAATCCATGAAGTGAAAGTCAGTGGGATGCAACGTCACAGGCTGGAGGTGCAGAGCTCCAACTCCACCAGCCCAAACACAGATAACTTCCGTCTTATTGTTGTAAGCCTCTCATTTAATGGAAAAACTTGAAACTTGATTTCTGAGGCAACTCAGTCCATTTAAATGTATTCTCAGTGGAAAAACTGTTATGCTGAGGACAGGCAACTTGAGAACAGTCAAACCATTTGTGGGTTACTCTTTGTTTTCATGGAAATGAATTGCTGGCAGGTGTTACTGGAGCTTTTGACTTCCAGTTGTCTGTTCTTTGAAAAACTAGCAGAAGGAAGATTCAGTTTTGGCAGTGATTGTGGTTTCAGTCTGACCGTTTTCCTTTTTTTGTGGATGCATCTTATTAGGCAGATTCAGCTTGTGAGCGAGTCTTCACAGTAAATGATGTGTCACACGGAGGCTGCAAGTACGGCATTATGAATTTCCATGGCTGCAGAAAAGGCTCTCTGTCGGTGGAGATGTGTGATAACCTTTATTTCACTAACCGCAAGGTAACCAGGAGAATTTAAAATGAATTCCTTTCACCAAAAATAAGATGTTTTATAGTATTGAAAACTATTTCCTTTTAATTTTGTTTCAGGTGAACTCTGTGTGCTGGGCGTCCTTGACACATACAGACTCTCATGTTCTGTATCCTTCAAACCAGGCCCGGACTGGCCATCCGGAGCACCGGGAGAATTCCCGGTGGCCTGGCGGCTGATTTGGCCCGCTGGCCTTTTTTTGTTTTTTTAGCTATTATTATTATTATTAATATTTTATATTTATGCCTTCTCAATGTACCAAAGTGATAATTTCCGAGTTTTTCATTTGATGATAAATCATAAATCGGTTAGTCTTGACTGGCAGCGCTGCGCTATACGAATCAGCTCACGTCTGTTCCGCGCTTCCGTCAAACGGTTCCGAACAGAACTGATGCGTGGGACTCGATGAAAGAGAGGAAGCGGCCAGAAGAGGCAGTGAAATGTAGCAACATCACTGACCTGTTCAGGGCTTCAAGTGCAGGTCAGTTTCTTCGGTAAATACGCTAGAAAGTTTTGTCTTTATTAACGTAGTTGAGTATTAAACTGCTAGTAGGCTATCTGTTAGGCTATCATTAGCACCCCATTATTATCATCATTCAGAATCCTGTGCTAAAGGGCATCGATATCGATTGTAAAGTTACATTCAAAAAATTAGCAGAGACAGATATTCACATGGACTTATTGTACAGGGAGGGAGGGAGCTAGAGCAGAAGAAAGCATTCTAATATGCTGATTTGCTGCTCAAAAAACATTTATTATTACATTGAAAACAGATTAGATTTTTAATCTGTTTCTTTGATGAATAGAAAGTTCAGAAGAGCAGCATTTATCTGAAATAGAAATCTTTTGTAACAATTGATTCACAATTGAATATTTATTATTATGATAAATAACATTCTGTGCTAACAAATTGAAATGAGGTGGTTGTTTTCAACGGGGGGGGGGGGGAGGG